ACACGGCTTTTAGAAGGATGGGGATGCTCCCAAGCAGAGCTTTTTCCTGCAAACCACCACTGGCTTGCGGGGAAAATACAGCAAAGCCCCAGTGTGTGACTCTGGGATGTGGGAGATGTGTCCTGCTTAGCAAGCACAGTGGTCCCCGGTGTCAGTTGCCCCCTTCCCACGGGTGCGATCCTGCTCAACACCCCACGGCACAGCAGGCGCTTTTGGTCCTGGGAGCCCTACTCTATTTTTGATGGCTGTTGGGCTGCTGCCTGTCCTCTGCAGGTACTCGTGGTGCAGCAAGCGGCTGCTGGAGCAGCGGGACTCCTGGTCCAGCCACCTCACCCTGGCCGACCTCATTCCCCTGGAGAGCCCAGCGGGCGCCAGCTGCGCCAGCAAGCAGGACTGGCTGGAGAGACTAGTGGTGGGGCATAATGTGGCCTTCGACCGGGCGTTCATCAAGGAGCAGTACCTCATCCAGGTAATCCGCGGTGATGTTGCTTCATACCAGCACCTGCCGTTCATTACCCAGATAGTCATTTGCACTGGCTTTTCAGGGTTATTTTGGCAGATTGCCGTTCTACACAGATAGCCCAGGGTTATGCTCAACAGGTTGAGGTTGGATTCCTTTAGAGTGAGATGTTCTTGCATCCCGTAGGTTGTTGTAGGCTGCAGGGTTGCAGCTAGGGACGTGGCAAGAGCCTCTGGGCAGCTGACAGCCTGCACTGGGGATGCTCTTGGCTCTCAGAAGAAGGGTGCTGGGAGGCAAAGCTTTGCCTTGACAAAAGCAGCCCAAGCAGAGAACTTGCAGCTGTAACACAGGGTGTGCTTGCTGGCAGCTGCAGGATGCTTGGCAGCATGTTTCTACTTCAGCATATCTCAAAATTCCTCTCCTCTCTCCCCTGATGTGCCCCAGGGCTCTCGGGTGCGTTTCCTGGACACCATGAGCATGCACATGGCCATCTCAGGGCTGACAGGCTTCCAGCGCAGTCTCTGGATGGCTGCCAAGCAAGGCAAGAGGAAGGGACTGCAGCAGGTCAAGCAGCACATCAAGAAAACACGCAGCAAAACGGAGGGTCCAGCTGTGAGTAAGGTTGCTGAGCTGCTGGCAGTGGCATGGGTGGCAGGGGAGTGCTTGATCCTGTAATGGGACCTTTTGCTCCTGTGCTGGGACCATCTGCTCCTGTACCGGTAGAGTAGGAGCTGTTGGAGCAGCTCTGCTGGATGAAGCTCTCCCAGATGACCTGGCTTTAGTTTAAAATTGGAGCAGTGGCATCCTTTACCCGTGCCAATCTCAGCTGGTCCTTTTCCCATACCGTCTGACCCCCAACCTTGATTGCAGGTCACTTCGTGGGACTGGGTGCACGTCAGCAGCATCAACAACCTGGCAGACGTGCACGCGCTGTATGTCGGGGGGGAGCCGCTGGAGAAGGAGGCACGGGAGCTCTTTGTGAAGGGGACCATGGCTGACATCAGGAGTCACTTCCAGGTGCAGGCAGTGATGCTGGTGTCTCGATGGGCAGTGGGAGCCAGAGCCATTCCCTGGGAGCGGGGCGGGAGCAGCTGCTGGGATAGATTTTGCTGCCCTTTCTTGCCAGGGCTTTGGGTGTGCATGGGGCTGCGATGTCCCCCATCCTCCCACAGCCCCAGTGCCCTGCCCAGTGCAGGCAGAGGGGCAGCTGCTTTGCCTGCTCTTACCTGTCTGTGCCTCCAGGACCTGATGTCGTACTGTGCCCGCGACGTCCAGGCCACCCACGAGGTGTTTCAGGAGCAGCTGCCGCTCTTCATGGAGAGGTGGGAATGCCAAGCTCTGCCCAGCATTGGTTGGGGTCCCTCTGGGGATGGGGTGCTGTTCCTTGGGATGGCGGTGGGAGGTTGGGAGGCCCGGAACCCCATTTCAGGAGGGGCCTCAGACCCTGCCCACTTTGCAGATGAGAAGGAGTAAACAGCAGCACAGTGTGGCTGGTGAAGGCGAGCGGATTGAATGAGGCAGGTCAGAGTGATGTAGCTTTGGGCTTAGGGCACAGGCGTGCTTTTAGAGCAGTGATTTATGTCCAGGGCATGCAGAAGGTGTAGGAGTCCTTATGCACT